CCCCCCCCCCCAATTCGCCTAGATCTAGAGCAGGATATCAGGTATCAAATACATAGTATTAAATTCTGTCACGAGATCTGGCTACAGAACATTAGGTCAAGATTATACTCATAAACACACACAGATTGCTTTGACATTCTGCTCCCTCACCAACCATTGTTATGAATAAGTCAGTTGTAGTAAAATAGATTACGCACCCAAGTCTATGGTGTAACGGCCCAGCTGTCTGCTGACGTCATCACTGTCTGTCATCTAGGACGCCGTATCCATCTCAGCCTGGGTTGGCTAAGGTTGAAGCAGCCTGCCTTCTAAATGATCTACATTTCTAAATAGTATAGATAAAGGCATAAAAGTTACTAGCATGGGTTTACTTTTGTTGCCCTTTCTTACCTAGCGGTGTCGATGGGGAGACGTGTATAACACCGACAAATTCAACGGCAGTTACATCGGTTACGTCAATTGGAAAATGGCCAAAGAATAACATAAAAGTTTATCTGGCTATACTGTAGTGTAAAGCACATAGAGCTTGCTGTCGATTGGTGATAGGCACAAGCTATTTCTACATGCTCTTGTTTTTGTTCTTGTTCTTGTCGTGTTCTTCTTCTTCTTGTATACTGAAATGATACGATATAATTGTTTTTATCTTCATACCGGATGCGACAGCTTTCTGGAAACATTATAAAGTATGAGACTGCTAGGGTAATAGTATATTATCTGCATATTGTTGAGAATGTTGTGTCCCTTGATAACACGCTGTGCTATAATTTTTTGTAAGTGTTTTACGGAGCTCGCAACTGCATACAGCCATAAAAATATGGGAGGGCGGGGCACACATTATTCAGTTGGTAGATAAATTGCATTTTGCCCTGGTGGCGGCTGAAGTCTACTGTTATCGATATTAGGACGACGACCAAGGAATCTTTAACGTGCGCAACTTGCGCACGGAACCTCTGAGATTTTGCACCGTTATAAGGATCCGAGGAGAAGCAGTAGAAAGGCTGAAGAAAGAGTCAGGAGCCGAGGCGAGGCGGCAAACGGGATAGGAGAAGGGGGACGGGGGCAGAAAGTGGACACGAAAGCAGACGACAGAATACGGTTAGAGAGCAGGAATGGGGGATGAAAGGGGAACATTTTTAGAGAAGAAAATTTTCTGTCGCTGTCATGGTTCGAACCCGGGTTCTCAGTCTTTGCAAAATGGTTGCCACTGCAGAGGTCTCTGAAATAAGCCTATGTTTGTACGAAGCCTATGTTATAATTGTGAGACTTCAAGATAGGTAATCTTAAAAGTTGTAAATCGAGAGCATGGATATTAGATCTAGCTGTTTTAATGAAGTCATTATCATTATCATCATCATTATTATTATTATTATTATTA